GAACGAACCTTATAATACGCTCCGTTTTCGCCGCATACTTCGACTGTGAGATCCTCCATCTTGCTTTTGTGTGACGGCTCGCCTCCTTTGCGGTAGGCATGCTGAAGAGCGGGCATCCGCACGAGTTCGGGGCTGCGAATTTCCCTTTCGCCAATCGTACGACTCTTTTCCATGACGCCGCGGCAGTATTGGACGGTACGGCCAGTGCTACCACGTGTCGAGCCTTATCGACCTTTTGCGAAAAAACACTAGCGCCGCTTTCTTATCGTCTCGTTGGCATCATCTGATCCTCTCTCCAATGAAACGCGGAAGCGCGCCGTCTTCTTTTCACGTGCTTCTGTTACTGTTCGTTGCTGTTCCCGGAGCTTGATCTCGATTCTCGCGTGAAGAATACTGAACAAAGTAATAATCTCGTCAAATTATGCGAACGATAAGGGATCGAAAGATATTTTGGAATAATTACTCTTCCTCTATTTCACATTCAATCGATCAGCGATCTGACGATCTTGCGAGAAGCGAGATATAGAGATTCGTTTCTTCTAGTTGACGAAGTTTTTCTTCTTTTCCCACCAATCTTATTTTTCTTTCTCTTAATTTTCCGTCATTATGTTAAAAATAGCTGCATTATGAAAATGCACACATGTATTTGAAATATAGAAAATAAAACTTGGCATAAATCAAATTAATTTTACAAAATATCTACTTTACCTCACGAAGTACTTTACACAAATGACCGCTTGCGTGCCCAATAGCCCAAGGCTACGTTCCGAAATTCACTGCCAGTATTGAAAATCTATAATATACGTGACACAAACTATGTATTTTCAGTACTAGCAGTTCCGATATTCATTGCAAACACTGAAAATCTACAGTATACGTGACACAAACTATATATTTTCAGTACTGGCAGTGAATTTCGGAACGCATCTTTATGGTCTGTTCATTTTAGCTGCACTGCGGAACTAGTGCAATAAGTTAGAATGAGACAACTATATTTTTTCTCACTTTAACTTATTGCACCAGTTCAGTAGTGCAGCTAAAAAGAACAGACCATTAGTTAGTAGCTGCATTCTGATGCTGCATTCCGATATTCACTGTCAGCGCTGAAAATTTACAGTTTGTGTGATACAAACTATATATTTTCAGTACTGGCAGTGAATATCGGAACATAGCCTGAGAATATAATGATCGCGTGAGTATATCTATTCGACATAGTACGAAGTAGATGATTGATTGAATCTAATAATTCACTAGATAATACTTTGCATCGGTTGGTTGTGTCTAATCGTGCTGTATCGAATTGAGTGCTTCTCATAATCGCACAACGGTTGTATAATTCGTTAACGTTATTGGTCTGAACGTAAGGACCTAACAGTAAGGACCAATAATTACTAATCGCTCACTAAGCATTTTTTCTGAACACAACCATAGGTCTGTTCTTTTCAGTTGAACTAGTGCTTCACTGAAACTGCAATGGTTCAGGGGCCCTATTCTTGAACTACTTGCATATACGTAAGTGGCAAGTTTCGACTAATCGCAATGGAAAATCCCTAGAACCGTATTCTTGACAGTCGCAAGTGAAACGTATACGCAAATTATCATTCGCAATGCAACGAATGGGTAATACCATCCGTTTCTCTCGAAACGTATGTGATACGTTATGCAAAGTACAGAAAGTGGAGTATAAGAGTACACACACAGAAGCACACTGTTATTAAGAAGAAGAATAATTCAACGCTAAGACGGCTAAAAGAGTGGAAAATAACAGCTGACATTACATATCCGTAAGAGAAATAATAAATACGAAATTTAAGAGAAAATGGCATATAAATTTCACTGCATTTTAATTATAGAGTAAAATTGTGTAACAATAATGGATTTAGACGATGTAATAGTAAACATACCAGTTATAAATGCGTTAGAACATGCTAAAATAATGGAAGAACCAAGAAGATTTTTCCATATTAGTTCCATATTTTCCACTTTATTCTGCTGAACGCAGCCAATTAAAGTTCGTGGTATCGTATTTTTGATCGATATTTGCAGAAAGTACATATGTTTTCCAATGTTGTCAAACGTAATTAAACGCAATGGAAAGCGTATACGTTTCTAGTTGCGAATACTACACAATTAAAAGTCATTCTACAATACGTGTTGTAAGTTGTAAGCCGTAAGAACTGATCAATTATGGCCGATTATTTTTATAATAATTGATTGTGATTCGCCAATTCTTACGTCTTACAACTTACGACACGTATTGTAGAATGACCTTAAGTTCAAGAATACCGTGTCAGAAACGTATGCGCATTTTTACTATTCGCAACGTACGGATACGTATTACGTACGTATACGTAAAGTTGCGTATAGATTCAAGAATAGGGCCCCTGCTGCTGCGGCGTAGAACCAAATTTAAGCCGATGGAAACGCGTCTTACTAAGCTCATGTTACTCCCGCTTCGAACCACAAGTTTTATTGAAATGATAGCGAATTGATATCCAACTTTAATCGACGGAAACGGTTGAAACTGATTGGAAGTACCAACTTTTCTTAATCACTAGAGAAATTGGTGACAACTACAAGATAACCTACATATAATCTAAAATGCAAGCATTCCTTTACGAAATGTGATTGCCATGACATTTATCTCACATTATTAAAATTATTCAGGTAAGCAGTTACATTTATATAAAATAAATGTCAACAACAAGATGTTTCGAACAAGAAGTATATGGTCACTTAAGTTGGCTCTACTGAAATATCAATTCTTATTGGGTCTTCCTCACTTCTGCTGTGCTTCCACTGGAAACAGTACCTTAATTCGATTTTGTATAATCCGAAATAGAACCGAATTGACGACTACGGTGGAAACTAAGCCACTGTTTGTACTAACTCCTACCTAGACCTAGACTGTGTTCTGATATTTACTGCTAGTATTGAAAATATATAATTTATATCACATATATTATAGATTTTTAGCGTAAGCAGTAAATGTGAAAGCAAGCAGTACAGTGAACTGTTGCACTAAGAGAGGATTCACATCTAGGCAGAAAAGCAGAAAGCAGAAAGGCAGCAGCTAATCAGAACTCGCGCTGATAGTCTGTACTTCTTTTCTGTCTCTCTTTTAAGAGAAGAACAGACTACCAGCGAGACTTCTGTGGTGGTACTACGTAATTTTGTAAACATAGAAAGGCGTAAGCAAGGAAAAGAAAATAGATAGGACAGGAAAGTTGATGCTTATAATAATTCGTACTACCTAATAGCTTTTCTATGACAGATCGGGAATCTTCGGTTATAGAGGATTGTGTTACTATCTTTAATATTTTAGCTAAAAACATTCGGCAACGGATAAAATAGTATAGTGATTTTTATGAAATTACTAAATATTATTTGGCTGTTTTGATATTTTTTTCCATTATGGATTAAATGAATGTGTACTAACAGCTAATATAACCTCATTTAATAATATACATAATATTTTTTGTCATCTTTATCCTGTAAGTATATATTTTATTTATATATCTTATTATTAATAAGAATATTAATAATTATAATAAACTAATTTATTATTTTATTTCTAATAACCTATCTTTCTCAGTTAGTGAATATTAAATAATCTTCAACTAAAAAGGATTTATTAGAAATGAAATTAATATTTGTAAAAAGAGAGAGACAAAGAGATAGATCAATGGATGCAATAATAAGAATTTTAATGGGAGAAGAAATAGAAGAAGAAGAAAAAGAAAATTTACGATTAGAACGCATATTTTTAAGAGATTGAAGCAATCCATTTGATTAGCATAAATCTCCTGGGGACATCCAAAGACATCCCAGGGCCGTTCTAAGGATATAGGATGTCTCCAGGACATCCCTTGGATGTTTTCTGAACATATTTGCTATCAGAGATGTACGGTGCACTTAGGGTAAAATATTAAATGAAACCTTTATTTTCATAAATAAATAATGATACTTATAAATAATAACATATACTAATAAGATTTTAATATAATTTTCATATTTTATTTCATTATTGATTAAAATATAAGAAATGGAACAAATACAAGGTGGTTCAAATATGAATTTAATTTAATTAAGTAATTTTGTGTGTGTGTGTGTGTGTGTATGTTGTGTGATAAGATATTCAATATAATATAAAATAATATTTACCCATAATTTCTTTTAAATTCATATGAATTTTCACTCACTTTACCACTCATTAATAACATTAGCAAGAACATAGACATCCTAAAACTAGAGAACGTACGCACGTCATTATATAAACTGCCTCGTAAAGGTTAGGAAATAGATATAGAAAAAGCTATGAAGATCTTTCTATTTGGGGCTGTATTCCGTACTCGCGTACCGATAGTTGTCGGTGTCGTTAAGTAGTATTGCGCAGCTTTTTTGTTATGTGAAAAACCTGCGCATTGCCGCTAACGACACCGACAACTGTCGATATGCAGGTACGAAATACAGCCCCAGCACTTCGGACGACAACCGAAACAGCCCGATGATGCACGATTCTGTTTACTTACATAGTTACTTTCTTTATATAGACAGGAAATTTCTTTCTATTTCTTCGTCTATCATTTTACGTAGTTCCATTACAGACGTCATTTCCGCTGGAAAAAACACTCCAGAAAGTTCAGCTGGAAAAAATAAATTCCATTGTTCTTCAAAAAATTATCACTATGGTTAAAGTCCCTAGAAAGTTAATTTTCCTATTGGATATTAAGGCCCAGTTCCACAACTTGCTTTAAACGGAGTTTAACTTTAAACTCCGTTTAAAGCAAGTTGTGGAACTGGGCCCTGTAATTTAAATTCTTCATGATACTGATGATTGGGTAACTAGCTGGTTAAGTTAACCAAGGTTAGTAGAAACGGACATCACTCCAACCAACTTCTTGCATCGCAAGTGCACTGGTTCAGGAAGTTCTTCGAGATGGAGCAAATGCTCTCTGATTCAGCTAAAAAGAACAGACCTCCCGACTGTATCGAATGTGACTGAATGCACGCGAGGAATGCAACAATCGCGCAGTTGCGGGCGCGAGCTTGTGATGTGATAGTGGTAGGTGTAAGTTGGCGTGAAGCTGACTGGCGCACGGTACTTGCGGTGAGCACTTGCTGGTCGCGGGTGTTCGTACAAGTTGGTGTTGTAATAACCTGTCATCATAACCGCTGCCGCCGATCCGAAGATGATTCCGCGCGACTTGCGTACGCGATTCAGCTCTTCCTGCCTAGCCCCGAGCCTGCCGTTCGCGGCTGAGCGACGCGCGTGACGTGCGCCGGTGACACCGATGCGAGGACGAGGGTGTCCTCGCGGACCTTCCACTGCGGCGGACGACGATGTCGGGCAGCAGCGACTCCGAGGAGTTTTTCGACGCGGAGGACGACTCGTTTCATCGCGTCTCGCGGTAATTGTCGCGAAACATCCACGTCGTGCATCGTGGAGGATATCCGCGGAGCGTCCGCGACATCTCGTCAGCCGTATATAACGTGCGTGGGCGGACGTCGATGCATTCTCGTGTGTCACGCCGCCGACCTAACCGCGATTATTCAAAGGCGGATCATGGTTCTCTATGCGCACGAGCGACCTTGTGATGCATTACCGTTTTGTTTCGTTTGTCATACCCGTGACATCACCTCTTTCCCGCAGACTTCTGTATGTCAGACAGAAACTACATTTCTGGAGACGTGTCAACTGCGTATAATTCTCGAGGCCGGCACGTTTAAAATTCAAACTGATGTCAGCTCCTGTGATTGACATTGCAGGAGCGTGAAACTATATTTTTAGAAATTTTAGATGAATTTTTGCCAATGCACATAAATGATATATAAGATAACTAATTGTCACAATGTTGTTTGTTTATAGGAAAGTTAAGCAGCGTGATGCTGTCAACAATGAATCTCAATCTGATAAAACATCAGAAACTTCCAAACAAGTAGACGATCATGTTTTTGCAAAACCTGCTGAGCCTAAATCGATCGTTGAATCCAAGGATCTTGTCCAAATTAAAGATAAAGTTGTAAGTGTAAACGATACGACGTGTCATGTAATTGGAATGGAAAGTTAAAAAGGAATAGCACTCTAATAACTTTAGTATTTTGCAAGATCAGAACAAAGTTTTCACATGAAGCATTTTGTTATATGTCCATGAAATATCTCTTGGGAAAAGAAAATAAAGTTAAATAGAAGAAACATTTTAGGATGAAGATAGCAAGGAATCAACGACGACAGACAAGATTGTGGGGAGGAGAAGATTTCGTGAGCTTCGCCAACGTATGCAAACAGAAGATGACGATATTCCGATTAATAGTTCCCCTCCAGACAGCCAGACATCTTCCATCGAGGGTGTTTATCCCACCCCTTCAAAAACGACCCATCCATTCAGAATCATAGAGCATGACACTCTTAGCTTACAAAGTATGACCTCCCTAGGACGAGTGGGCCGAATTCTGGCAGGAGTCGCAGATAATGCTTCTGGTGTACTTGTATCTGGTATATCCCAGTGTCCTCCTTCTGCCGCCCTTACCCGTGAGAGTCAGATGTCCTCCATTGCTAGTATTCCAAGCAAAGACGAGGACACAACCTCTGGTAAGGTGTCCCAGTCTTCCAGCATCCTTACGTTATCAGGGGATGTCCTTCAGGAATCCTCTGTTAACAGTAGGTCCAATTATACTTCTCACTCGCAAAGTGACAAGACTGTTATGCTTCAAGAACCCGATGTCATCGCTAGTACAAAGAATAACGGGAAATCAATGGAAGATGTTGCGGTGCCTGGTGTGCCCGTTGCTCCACCGCGCCGTAAAAAGAAAACGAAGGCTCATACACCGAGTGACCTTGCTGTAAGATTTATCTCGGTTACTTTCGTTTCGTTAATTGGCATTTGGTCAAAAAATGATTTACGAGTGTATGAGTTTATCGATTGAATGAAAATACAAATTGGTTCCAGCCGTCTGTGGAAGCGCTTGTACCCGCATCGCCGCTTCCAAGTCCAGCGAGTACCATAGAGTCGATCACTAGAGAGTTCGAGCATTCACTTGATATTCGATCCGCGACAAAAGGGCAGTACGTCGTCAAACCGCAGGTAAACAGGCTCTGGCAGCGAATTTGTGAGAGCAATTTTGGCATATGTTAGATTTGTAGTTTTTAATTTACTCACGATAACTGCAAATATTTTATACTCAGTATTGAACTTATTACATATCTATAGGATGAGGATAAATCGAGAGCGGAAGGACCGTCTAGTGAAGAATTAGAAAGGGTAGAGAGAATGAAAGCTGAGCTGCTTAGTGTAAGATCGAGTGAGAAATCTAGTAGTCCACTAGGATCAGTATCGAGCAACAGTATTGGCCGTTATTCTTTAGGTCCTCATAAGTTCTCAGGGATGAGCCCACAAGGTTCCAAAGAGCGGCGTAAATCCGCTGGCGATCAAGACATGGTTAAGCAGTTGAATATGTTCGTGAGAACCAGAACAGATTCTGGCAAGCGTCTTACTGATATGGTTCGTTGTATAGATGTATCAAGTGCACGCATTATGACCCATTTTAAATACCTACTTAAAATATTTCGGAAGAAATGCATTTAAAGTGCAAGCGGTGGGCATTTAAAATGTATACATTTTAAATGTCCATCTAAAATAAAATAAAATTCCTCTTAGGAGAAAATGCATTACACGAGAAAATGTTTCAAACAGAATTTGAACAAGATCATAGAAAGATTGCTGTTTTTGTTTTGTTTCCTTAAAATCAATAAATTTTCGTCTAAAGCATCTTTTCCCGAGAGAAATTTTATTTTAGGTGTGTATTTAAAATGAGCCGCCTTGTGTGTGTATATATCAGGGGAGAATATAAGAATTCTTGATTTCTATTGTAGGAGATCTTGGAACAAGTGACCGTATTGAATTTAGATACGGGTGAACGAGTGCCATTAAGTATAGCGGAGGACAAGTTGCCGCAGTGCATTAATCCTTTGTCGTTACACATTATGAGGCTTACGTCTGAGTACATCAGCAACTCTAGTCTTGAGAAAGAAAAAGAGAGCGACGAGGAGAGCGTGGATAGCAAGATGTCCAGTATACCTCCTGACGAGGACGTGTCTGTAGGTAGGGTTCGTAAGCGAACGCAAAAGCTGAAGCGATTCCTAGGCTCCACCGTGAAGAAGACAATGGATAAAGCGAAATCCATCGCGCAAGAGGTATCGCATGCGAGGCACAAAGAGGATGTTATGGATATAGTGGACGAGGTCTATCCTGGCGAGCAACAGTATATCAAACTGAAGGCATCGAATAGTCACAAGGGTCCGTATGAGTTCAGCTGCCTGCAGCACGTTCAGGATCTCAGCGGCGAACACGTGGGGCCTGTTTGGTGCATGAAATTTTCCGCATGCGGCCGACTGTTGGCCACCGCCGGGCAAGATCGCGTTCTCAGGATTTGGGTGCTGCGAGATGCCTTTACGTATTTCCAGGACATGCGAACGAAGTACAATGCCGAGAAAGTCAGTCCTACACCTTCGCAGGAATCGTTGGTCTCGCAACAATCTATGGAGGATCCCAACGTCGTGGCTAGTGCCTTCAGCGAAATAGAAGGAACGAAAAGCCCGTTCATGCCAAAGCCATTTTGTACATACACCGGTCATACCTCTGATCTGCTCGATGTCTCATGGTCTAAGAATTACTTCGTTTTATCTTCATCGATGGATAAAACTGTCAGGCTTTGGCACATATCCCGCAAGGAGTGTCTATGTTGCTTTCAGCATATCGATTTTGTCACCGCGATAGTATTTCATCCGCGGGACGACCGGTACTTCCTCTCAGGATCGTTAGATGGCAAACTGCGCCTGTGGAATATCCCGGACAAGAAAGTCGCCGTGTGGAACGAAGTGGACGGACAGACGAAATTAATTACCGCGGCGAATTTCTGTCAGAACGGCAAGTTCGCGGTCGTCGGCTCGTATGACGGTAGATGCATATTTTACAATACCGATCAGCTCAAGTATCACACGCAGATACATGTACGGTCGACGAGAGGAAAGAATTCCACCGGTCGCAAAATCAGCGGTATCGAGCCGATGCCGGGCGAAGACAAGATTCTGGTCACGTCGAACGACAGCCGTATTCGTCTGTACGATTTGCGGGACCTAAATCTGTCCTGCAAGTACAAGGGATACGTGAACGTCAGCAGTCAGATTAAAGCGAGCTTCAGCCCGGACGGACAATACATAGTTAGCGGCTCGGAGAATCAATGCATTTATATCTGGAAGACCCATCACGACTATTCCAAGTTTTCCAGCGTCCGTAGGGATCGGAATGATTTTTGGGAAGGCATAAAGGCACACAATGCTGTGGTGACGTGCGCCGTGTTTGCACCAAATCCCGATAGTATTATCAAGCAGATCGAGGCGAGAGAACAGTGGGAAAGCAAGGATGACTCCAAAAGTGTGGATAGTCCCAACGTGGGTGTTGTTCCCGTTGATCCTGTCGTTGAGCAACGCACTAAAGGCTGCGGAGGCCACGTTCTCGTGAGCGCCGATTTTAATGGATGTATAAAGGTTTTTTTAAACAAGACGAAACCCAAGCATAGTTCCCTACCAGCATCCGCACTCGCGTAACGTATTGTTGTATAAATTTATATATACGCGGTGGCCCATGTAAAGCTCAACAATTTTGTATCCCGAGATAATCAATTTTGATTATTCTGGTTCCGAATTTTATCGATCCCAGGAGTCTTTAAATCTACGTCAAGACTCATCCTCATTTGTCTCGTTTGAAGGTGGCGATAACTTTGAAATTTCAAGTGAGTAAACTTTAGTAGACATGGTGACATCGCTGTTAATTTAACTTTCTCCGCGTCACTGTTATCACTTTCTGACATAAAGACATTTACACTTACCTCGTGTGATTCAGAAAATCGCCTGTGTAAAAAATATGTGTGTATATATATATATATTTTTTTTTTTTTAAGTAAAACTGTTAAAATTCTTTGATCTAATGTTGAGCCTTACGTGAGCGATCTTATATATATTTATATAGTATATAGTGATAGAAATAAGAAATGTAATATCCGCGCGCGAATACTCTTCCTTTGCATCTTTATGTATTGTAAATTTTACTGTGTGTCCTTTCCGTGATGAGGAGGCGCACGGTTGTATGCAATTATTTGTTTAGCAATATATTGTTTACGCTAAGTTGCGCAAAATATCTATTTCACTGTTACTACGAAGGCCGTTTCGCACAGAATAATATGTTGATGATATATGAGTTCCCACGAGATCATGCTTGAATGTTTTAGTTCCAGTAAAACGATTATCACAATAGCGAATACTATCGGTATTATACGTCACATATGGATATTACAATAATAACACCGTTGACGTTGAACAAGTGAGATTCGAGTATACACTTGGAATCTCTTTTCTGCCGAAAGCTTTTTCTATCTTTCCTTTTTGTATTGCAGTTCGACGGTGCTGGTCCACTGTTACCATCGAGTTACTATTTTACGAGAGATTTATCAAAATTATGTCATATAGTACATGATAATTGTGAAGTTGTCCATGAAAGTATGTGACGAATATTGAATATCGTTCGTTAACACATATTACATGCGACAACGAAATAAAGTTACAAACGAAGACAACACAAGAGCACCTTGGTGAAAACGAAGTATAAAAAGAATAAAAAAGAAGAAGTAGAAAGAAAAGCAAAAAAGTACGCAGACGACGAGTAATAAATAATTCAAATAGCTCTCGTTTTATTGATTAACCACCGAACTCGCAGGTTTATATAACTTTTCGATCATTTATCAATAGGGCGAAGTGTTAAATAGGAATTGCTAATTTTTATGGATATTGAATCGGATTTTGCAATCCTGATGATTTCTAAAACGCGTTCGACTAGAACACAATAGCTGTAAGATAGTGTAACACATCGAAGACAATATCAAAAGTGTTTTGAGGTTGAAATACCACGTGGTTACGTTTTTTCTACGAGCGTCCTCGGTATTTTAGAGAAGATATAACGCGTTATCTTCATCGTGAAATTTTAGAGTAACGTTTGTGAGGCGTGTTATATGATTTGACGTTGCGCTATGTGTAAAGGATGCGTCGGTACCCGTAATATACGTACATACACACATATAGCTCACACCTTGTATATTAATGTTTTGCGGTAGAAATTGTCATACGCTCACGACACTCGCTACTTAGATTTTAACGCAATGTTGTAGAATACGCCACACTGATCCGATGTTATAATAGACGCGTTATGCATGCTACGTGCGCATCTTGCGTCATTGTCAATTACGGAGAAACTGGAAATTATTATCTTTAAGGATAAACATGCATGAGGACAGTTCGATATTGTCCAGGACTCGATGCATCATGTTTCACGTTTTATTTTCTACATTGAGCAGTTAGCGATTTTTGAAAAAGTTCGCACAATTAATGAGATATGAAGTAATCTAAACTTCTCACAGCAATGAGTAATGAGATCCGAGTTGCGGATAGCGTAAAATGTGTTTAAGCTATATCGTGATCTTAATGTAAATATACAAGGAGGGATTGTAGGTATTTTGTGTAAATGCAATTGTAAATACATCGTGTATCGGTATCTGTCGATGGTAGCCAGCACAAAAGCTATTATTTCCCGTAGCGGTCGTGTAATATAAACTGTATTAATAGTTTATTGACATATTGTACTGTGTCTGATTTTTAGGCCTGTCTCACGTACGTTGGTACACATAAATCTACATTAATCATCGTCGCACGTTGTGCTTTTATTTTACAAAAGCCCGTCTCGGAACTCCCTTATTTTTATTTCTACATAATATAATTCGAGAATGGATTTTCCGATGAAATAATGTTTATTCGTAATCAATAGATCTTCTCTGATCCGTTGTTCAGTTGTACAAAAATAAGATAAATAATAAGAAATTGTTAATTGTGTGTGCTAATTATATGTGCAGTCGGGTGTAAGGAAATAGTCCGGTTCCGGTTTACAACCAATTTTTACACAACTAGATTTTTATACAAACCAGATTGTTAGCGAATATTTCAAAGCCAAGTATATATATATATATATATACAGGGTGTCCCAAAAGTAACGGACCACCCTCATAACTTTTCAGTATTGTAGTTTCAAGGAAAATGATCTGAACAAAAGTTGTAGGGATTTAAGTGAGCTACCTTATGATGACCTCGATTTTGACTTTAACCTCTATTTTAAAAATCATTTGAAGGTCAACTTGCGTTTTTTTAAATGGGAACCCTTATTTTTTATCAGACTGTTTTTTTTTACTAGTCAATTTGAACAACTTTTGTCTAAACCATTTTTCTATTTGTCTAATGTTTTTTGAAATATTTAAGGAAAACTTGATAACTTTTTCAATATTTAACTTACGATATCTCGCTAACTATTTGTCGGAAGAAAAAGTGGTACTAGACTTTCTTACTTTATTTAGTCTCAAGAATATATTGTTACAATAGCGCCCTGATTTTTGTTAATTTGATGATTTTGAAATTTCTAAAAGTCAGTAAGTATTCTTTTGTATACCGTAGAAAAGCTGCGCAACGATAACGAAATTGTCGTTAACTTCAATAACGAGTTAAAGAATCGCACCACTGGTTCCTCTCTGTGAAGTTACTTAGCCAGGATTCAAACCTTTTTCAATTGAAATCCGAAGCTTGAATTGTAGAGACTTTGCTCTCTTTACGTTTATGTGAGATTTCAACAGATGCCGCTAGATGTCACTGAGCAGTCCTTTAATCATTTCTGAGCAAATTTAGCGCGGAACGGTTCTGTGTAAAATTACACTTCCAAATTCTCCGTTACTAGCCGCCACTATTTTTACTGGAATGTTAATGCTACAGTACGATTCAATGATAGGTTAGACGGATTTTTTATTCTCAAGTAGTATGATATATAATAAAAGTCAGGAGACTTTTTACTGTCATATAGAGTGATTCAATTGTAAGTCAAAAGATACTTTTACTCATTAGTGAATGCTGGCGAAAGCGAATGTATGATTTCATTTCAAAGAAATTTAATTACGCACTAATATCTTTGTTCACAAATTGACTTATTTAATAGTCGTTTCTATTTTCAAATAATACGACTCAAGTCGGGGGGGGGGGAGGGCAAATTAAAAGGATTATTTTTTTAAGCAGCATGATTCAACAATGTGTCAAAATAATTTGGTATTTTTTTGTTAATGACACGACCAACCGGCATATGGGGAGTAGACGTTTAATCCTATTTGCGTATAAAAAATAAATCCTAAGCTGAGGATGAATCGTATTACGTTACAAACGTTGAACGTGAATCGAGCGACTAACAAGTGGCACGTTCTTCTTAGAACGCGAGAGTCAGCACGATGAATGGCACTTAGCGAGCATGTAGGTGAGCCGGCCGGCAAGTGCTCAGGTAGATAATCGAGATAGTATCCGTGTGTACGACGCTCGTACCTACAATATCGCGGACTTGGCATGATAATTCAAAAGAGATGACTTTGATGACGGTTTCACCATCCGCCGTTTCACCGCACACGATAATTGATAGCGTTGCGTTACGTATAGTAATGTACGTAAAATATGATACGTTGCTAAGCAATGATGTGCAGAGCAATGATCTACTTTTCGTATGCACATGCTATTTTTTTCTCCTCTTTCCTTTGTTTAATTTTATCCGGATGGCAGCAAAATCTCCGACGAAACTTTCGAGGAAGATACCCCGGGCTCGTGTTAATAATCGTTACTCGAAACTTGTGCGAGTGAGATTTGAGTTCAGATTTTAAATTAGAGACAGATGTGAGTTTTTCGGTTGAATTGCTATTGTATTGTAAATACAATGTCACATTTATTATATTATATTATATTAATTCAGACGAGAAACGCTCAAGTCTATTTTTAAATTCATGTCTGAATGCCTCACGTGAGGCAAGTTTTAAGCAACAACTATTAACACTGGCCTTCGAGATGTTCTACTTTCTTTCTCTTTACTTTTTTTTTTTTCTTAAAGATGTCTTTAATAGCGTTTTCGATTGAGGCCGATTTAAATTGTCTTGGAAGCGATTCGACCCAATTAGTCATGAGTGCAAAAAATCTATTCGCGAATTCAAGTTAGATCCTTGTTACATAGCAAAGATAGAAGCAAAGTGGCACACGGATGTATTAAAATTTTTGGAACACCTGAAATTCTCGGCACATATAGGCTCCATGTACCATCGAAAGCGGCTCGCTCATTTAGCGTTTTTCATATTGAGCGTCGTCGTACCACTTGCGGCAGGTTTAACTTTATAAAACCGGATACGCTTATTGTCGAACAACTACTTCGAGCCCACATACTATTTTAATGATTTATCAAACGGTCATGAACATAGTCTGACTCGCATCCTTCCAGCTTGGCAATTTATAACTTGTATATATGTAATCTATATAATTGAATTTTGCGGTTTACCTCTATGTTTACCCTTAATTTTGTATATCACGAGAGATCTTGTTCTCGTAGACAAACAAAAAAATTTCGCGATCGTTCTTATTGAGTTTTCGTTCGATTCTTTTCATGCACCAAAAAAAGAAAGTATTCTATTTGTAAAATGATTTTTCCTATAGTTTCATATTCTAAGCGAAGCCTTTTACAGAAAAAGGATTCCTTTTTCGATAAAATAATTAAAGTGAACCATTCATCTAAAATTTATTAGATATTATTCTAATTATTTTCCTCTTATTTCAAGAAGATTTCCTCTTATATCAATTAACTTTCCTCTTATGAGAAGAAGAATATGTTGATTTGAACGTCGGCTTCTTTTGTTCAGTCATGCTCTACCTCCAGACACGAAAGAAAAAATAATCATATATTCAGGGTCAGAATATTTGGAACGCCTTTTAAAAAAGGTATATCTTTCGCTGTAACATATAACGAAAATAATTTATCCATATTTGGTCGAAAAGAGTTTATAATTTATTGCAAAAAGTTGAATAATATATTCTTTTTTAATTATGTTTCATACAATTGGTTATGATGAACATCTTTGTAGCTATGAAATCCATAACAAAACTGATTGGAAATTTATTTGTTATGATGATCTTATTTCTTACTTATTGTAGAACTGGAGCCAGAAGTACATCTATATATATATTACTTTTCGCTATGCATTATAATAATTTTTTCAAATTAACTAGTATAAAACCAGTAAGAATAAAGTACAGTAAAAATAGTATAGAATAGAAAGTACAGTAAGAATAAATAATAATCCTTTTACAAAAGATTAAATAATCTGTATATAAGAGGAAATTTATATTAAAATCAATAAGATTTTCATCATATATGTAACATATAGTCCCTCTAACTTTAAGAATAATGTGTTTATAATATTTTCCTCTTAATCTTAAAGGAATTTTCTTGAAACCATATATAAGAATAAAATCCTCTAAAAATTTAAATGATTCCGTTTGTTCTGAAATTACTTTTTTTTGAGAGTGACGATATATTTATGACGACAACGTTTATGAAAAGTAAATGCGAAGGTAACATACGCACGACTGAGGAAAAAACTACTTATTTTATTAGCGCCGTTTTATTTATTTATCATTCTTAAGGTTTTTGCTCCCTAGCCGCGGAATTCTCGTCTGATAACGTCAGAAGCAAACAAATATACATTAAAAATTTCGAGTTTCGTCGAAATAAAAAGATATATCCATAAAATAACTTGCAACATCAATTCAGCATACTATTAAAATGTTCCGTGAACTTTTCTTTTATTTTAATTATCAATAACTGACTATGAAATGACTATGAAATTAGCATAATATGCAATCTCTCTTTTGAATCTATTTCTTTTCATAATTTTGTAACATTGATTTTTTGTCACTTTATTGATGCTTTAACAAAATGATTGCTTTAACAAAAAAGAAATTTCCATATTGAAAATGCGTCCAATCGATTGCAAATGTTATTATATAGATACTTTTTTTTTATTTTTATATAATCCGTAGGAATTTTTCAAATGTATTTTCTGACGTCATCATTCAAGATGGCTGCGGTGAGAAAACAGCCCTTATAGAGAAATATCATGTGATTGGCTGTTATAAATTGACCAGCAAATTGACAAATTATTGCTTGGTACTTTTAGTATTCGTGTGAGTAATAAATTCAGTAATAAATATTGTTCATACACGAGCACTAAAATTACTAAGTAACAATAATTTATCTCTGGTCAATTTATTGCTCGTATAAGTACTGAAATTACTAAGCAATAGTAACTTATCATTGGCCAATTAATTGCAGTCAGTAATACTTTTCTACAAAGACGGAGCCTTAATTGTGTCAAGAAACCTTTCAGACACGTTCGTTTATCAGATACGGGGATAGCTGCGCCTACTTCCCCGAATTTCCTGAGAATCGGCAGATTCTCCTCTCGGAACAGCGGCCAAGACCTCTTACCTCGTGCAAGGCATAAAACTTCTCCTTTAGAAGTTTGAACCAGCTCGGGTAACGAGACCCGGGTCGCTGCGTCAGTGGTTCAGTCAAGGTTGCGAAGTTCGGGGATTCCGTTTATCGCGGTCGAGCTCTGTTGCGGTTTGCGCGTCAACGCCGCGTGTTCCGCGCGGCGCGTTAGCGCTCGGCAATATCCCGGACCCGATGTCGCGCAATATCATTGACAATATCCCGGCGAGGTGCACGTGCTGCAGCGTACACGCGCATTCTCGCGCACACGTGGACGCGCGTCGCGAGGCACACATCGCGATCCCCGTCGAAGCTCTCGCGTGCGCCGCGTATAAACACGCGCGCACACGCGCGCACGACGAAGGTAGCGAGGAACGAGGAGAGATATCCTCCGCTTCGCTCCGCGCGAGGGACCTATATAACTGTACCCGGCTCTGTCTGGGTCAGGGGGCGGGCCGCTACGTTTGTAGTATACTCCGTATATCGGACAGGTGTACCCTATTCCGACTCTTCGAGTTCTCGCGTGCACCTCCGAGAGAGCCACGCAGTGCCGTGTGCCGTGTGGTCGCCCCGCGTGTCTCTTTCTAGCTGTCGCGAGAGCGCGAGCTCTCGGGCATCGCGGAGTATCGCGTCACCACGAGGTGATCAGTCGAGCACGAGGAGCTTCCGAAGGCTCTCTAGATCCTGTGTTTCGGGCCGAGCGAGTCTCTCTCACGAAATTCTCGCACTTCTCTTCTCTCTTTCTTTCTCTGTCTCTCTCTGTCTCTCTCTGTCTCTCTCTGTCTCTCTCTCTCTCTCTCTCTCTCTGTCTCTCTCTCTCTCTCTCTCTCCCTCTTCCTCCTTCTCTCTTTGTCTCTTTGTCTTCCTCCTTTTCCGGCTCTCTTCCTGTCTGGCTCTATTTCTCTCTTTCCTTCTCCCTGCCTCTCTATCTCTTTCTCTCTCGTGCGCGCGCGCACTCTGTCAGTACGTCCGCGAGGTGGTCATCAGCGTGCAGGATCATACTGATGTGCGCCAGGACACCTTGACACCTTGCCGACTACGACGATCAGTGGTGGTGAGACTCGGGCGGCTTCTCCTCGAGCCCGGTGCTCGGCGAAGGACCGAGCACCACGTTAACGAGCGCCCTCGTATCCGGACAATCCTCTGAAGAAAGAAGTAAGATTCCGTCGGTGTACTGGTCGCTTGTTACCGCTTGTCATCTGCCCTAATTGTCTGTTGGTTGACTCTCTTTGCGCGGAGGAAAGCTCGGTTCGTGACTGAATTTCTGTTCCTGGCGATCAGACGAAAACTCGGCGACGAGGAACGGTCTTTATGATCGCTCTGCTACAGCCGAAGACACTTGTCTCTCATCTTTCGGCGTGAAAAACTTGCTTGAGGTAACTAGGAACAGCAATTGACTGGGTAAAGATGGAAACCCGCTGGGAGTCTTCCTGTTCCTGCGACCGAGTTTTCGTCTGGCCCCCGGGGAATAGAAATTCAGTTACACGGACTGGCTTCTTCTCTCTCGGTGTATAAATTCGCGTTTTTTTCGCGCAACCGCGTTTCAAGCCGTTTCGGGCTCTGAGGCGAGCGAAGTAAATGTCCCAGTTACTGACTGGGCGACGTCATCGTAAAAATGAACTGACAAGTTAATAATGTATGTACTGCAAAATTATGGCTAAAACCAAGTTTGTAAGTAGAAATAGTGCGCGGCCATGAACGTCCAAACGCGATCATCAGCTGATCAGTTACGCAACATATCTAAGTTAGTTTAAGGCCTGCCAACTTTAATAACCACATTCGAAAAAGAATATTCTATTTGTAAAGTGATTTTTCCTACAATCTTATATTCTAAGCGAAACCTTTTGCAGAAAAAGGATTTCTTTCTCGATAAATCGATTAAAGTGAATCATTCATCTAAAATTTATTAGATATTATTTTAACTGTTTTACTCTTATTTCAAGAGGACTTCCTCCGATATCAATTAATTTTCCTCTTATATGAAGAGGAATATGTTGATTTGAATGTCAGCTTCTTTTGTTCAGTCATGCTCCAGACATGAACGAAAAAATAATCATATGCTCAGGGTCAGAATATTTGGAACGCTTTTTAAAAATGGCACGTGTGTTGCTATAACATATAACAAAGATAATTTACTCACATTTGGTCAAATACAGTTTATAATCTATGGCAAGAAGTTGAATAATATATTCTTTCTTTTAACTATGTTTCATATAATTGATTATGATGAACATCTTTGTAGCTATAAAGTCCATAACAAAACTGCTTTGGAAATTCATTTGTTATGACGATCTTTTTTCATTCGTGCCTATTTATTGTAGATTGTAGAAATACACCTATACATATATTACTTCTCGCTATATACGGTATAATAATTTTTTCAAATTAACTGGTACAACCAGTAAGAATAAATAATATTCTCAAAAAAAAAAGATTAAATAATCTGTGTACAAGAGGAAATTTCTATTAAAATGAATAAGATTTGCATTATACATATAACATATAATCTCTCTCACTTTAACAATAATATATTTGTAATATTTTCCTCTTGATCGTAGGGGAATCCTCTTGAGGTCACATATGAGAATAAAATCCTCTAAAATTTAGACGATTCCATTTGTTCCGAAATTACTTTTTTGGGCAGTGTAAAAACAAAGTTTCCGAAACTTATTTTGGATCAGGCCTGGGAACGGCTGGGAGCCACCGCTGCGCGGCGGGCGCGTCGCGCAGAGCCACGTGGTCGTTTGAGCGAGCAGCAGCCGACGCTGAGCGCGAGACGCGTGCAAAACGCGGCGCAAATTCGATCGGCGAGTAGCAGCCGCGCGTACGGCGCTGCGTAATGCGCTGGCAAACGTCGTTTACGACATAATTCGCGGCTACTAAACGCGCTTCTTGAGTCCAGCGGACATATGCGAGCGCGTAGGTGCGTTAACGACCGGCTAGGCCGTAGTCGGTCGGGACGTAATCCAATTAGCGCCACTTGCTCGATGGAGTTATTAGAGACAGGTCGCGCGTCATCGCTCTCGCGTCTCGCTAACGCGCTAATAACGGCCGAGGCGCGCGGGCTCATTGAGAGAAATTATACGGTCGCGCCGTATAGGAGATGCGTCGCGCCACGGTATGGCCGAGCCACGTGCTGACCGTTTCCATTCCGTCGAGCGTGCGCTACGGCGATGCAACGGGCGATCCGACGGGCCCCGTCGGCTTTGTGGTGCCGGCGAAGGGCCACAAAATTGTCCCCCGGTGGTCCTTCGCCGCTATTCGGTCGTTACCGTTACCGGAGTAAAGCCCGTGTCAGGCTAGGTATCGGGAATGGTGATTGTGGACTGCAGATTGAAACTTACGGCCCCGGCCTGGAGAAAGTGTGCCAGCGCCGAAATTGATGGATTCGTCGAATTTTAATCTCGATCGAATTCTAACCTGCGGCCCTCGATCTCTCTCGCAGCCGGCCGGTGTGATAGGAGCTTGAGGCGCTTCGCGCATGAATTATCGTAATCGCGTGTATGCGAACGTGTGAATTTTTAACGAGGGGAGAAATAATCCAGATATTGTTTGAGATTTGAGCACTCTGGAAGTGACTCGGTGAATCGGACGGTAAATTTTTCGACCGGTCGAAATGCCGATTTTACTTCTGCTTTCGATTCAATTTACCGTTACTCTTACCTTAGCGAGATTACGCGGAAAGATTACTGCGGTTATTTATTCATACAGAGTTCTTTCAAATTGTGCAATATTTTCTAGTAATATGCTCTCGCGAGTACATACAATGAATTTTTCCTTAATAATAGGTTTCAATTTTTGAACTATAAATGAAACAGAACACGTATGAAACAGAAGGATAATGAAAATGAAGACGGAATGTCGATGTGACGATTTGTTTCTCGGTTAGAAAGTTCTACAAATTTTTACCGTAAAATTTTTCTAGCAGTTTTTGCATTATAAAATTCTCTTTGTGCATCCGGAATACCTGAGTCGTTATTGTGGAACTTTGAGAGGGTTCTAGTCGGATTAATTCCGTCATTCCTTGACACTTCCTGCCGTATTGACTGGAAAAAACAGAATTGTTCCAGTCGGGAATTTTTTCAAACAGTTTCTTAACAACTGCTCTGATTTAAAGTGCCTAAAATGATGTCCTGATTGGTTCTTTGGCTCGTAACTTTACGTATCGCGTTAGTGACGACGAATTCGAAAGAAATTTGTTTACAAAAGCTCGAAAAATACGACAATCGACATTAACTTGTCGTCGTCGTCGACAGGACAGCGATTTGTCGCCTCTTCGATTAAAAATGCACGATTCCGCATACCACTATGTAAACGGCGTGACCAAACGAGGTCGAGCGTGTTCGAAGAAGCGGGCCGTGAATTTTTTTACGATGCTTACGAACTCGCGCGTCTTACACCGAAGAGAAAAGGCAACGGCATATGTCTGCACGTCCGTGTTAAGCACGAATGCTAATGTGTGTGGTCTCCGGAAAAAGTTCGTCGCCGTTCGTTCACTTTATTAGGTTGATCCGCAGGACTTTTCCCACTGAACACATAATTTATCCGTCGGCCCTGTTTCCACCTGAAAAATACGCTCACTCGTGTTAACACTTGTTTGGTGTTTATGAGAAAATACTTTCTGATCGAATTGACAATATAGACAGTACAAACTTTTAAACAACGTCCTAACCCTTTTAATCTCGGTGCATCCTTAAAGATACATGTACGCAATAATGTCTTTAGAAGCAAAAATATTTGATTGCGTGTGCAATCTTCCCCGTTGTCTAATAGAGCGTTTTTCATGTTATTTAATGATAATTGCTTGTCTTGAAAACAATAATTGAATTTCTACAAATTTTTTAATTTCTTTCGCAACAAAAGTTGTGGTTTTCCTGTTAAAGCCATTTTCCAGCGAAATTTTCCAAACTACTTCGACTACTTATCCCTCTGGTAAAAGAACACTAAATTTTAAAAAGTAAATTTTAGATTTTAAATTTTAGAAAATAAATTGTAGATTTTTTATTTTAGAAAACAAATTTTGGAATTTTTATTTTAGAAAATCAAAAGCTCGAATTCAAACGGTTTAAAAATGGATAGGAACGTCCTTTGACGTTTTCAACACTTTCCGACGATTTCGTGTAATTCGTCATTTGTACGATGTGAATCATTGGCCTGTGGTCCACATTATCGTGTTATTATATTTGTTAAATATTATGTGTCTCGTAACATTCACGAGATTATTTCACGATTGCGTTTCGCTTCGAATTGCAATATATTAACGGCCCGTACTGGAATTCCACGTGGAACCGCTGCGGTGACCCGCGCGGCACGGTGCGTGTTAACCCATTTGCCCATTTTCGCCGGGAGATTTGAAAAATACGTCCGTACCGCTGAATTATCATCTCTCCCGGATCGATGCGAAATGTGATAATCGAATGAAAAACATGAGATTTTGGCACCGAGTCCTGCACCGTCGCTGCAAAGTTTGGCGCAACCTGCAATTTCGCTTTTGCTAAAACAATGCCGCTTTTGTAGTTGTTTTTTTTTTTTTTACCGAATATATCGCGATAAAATCCAATTCGGACAGGCTGTGCTGAGACGAAAGTCCAATCCGATGAAAATTGTAGAGAATCCTTGAGAGCCCGAGTCGCGCGGATCTCGCGAAGTGATTGAACGAAACGAAACATGATATCCGATTTCTCACAAAGTCAAGGAATTCCCATTTGATTCCCCTCGCGACTTTCAGAGACGCGTCCAAAAGACGTCCCACTTTGTCAAGTCGACTTTCTTCCGTACATCCTGAGGAACGTTCTTCAAATACGCATCTCTGACTTATCGCCTGGACATCGGTAAAACGGGAGAAAAAGGCGGCCGGAACTTTCGACCGGCGGTCGAGCTAGCCTGTCGAGCTAGCCTGTCGCTCGGCTGTCCGGCTGCCATGTTAATGACCCGACGAAATGAGCGGATGTATCCGCTCCCGATGCAACCGGGTTAAGACGTCTCGCGCCCCAAGTTTACGACGTCCCGCGATGAGGAGCGTGAATGCACGCTGTTTCGTCACGCTGGCGGAAAGAAAGCCCGGCGCGCTCGCGAGAAATCGGCCCCGCGATAAATTAACACGCCGATTGTCGATACACTTGATACAATCGCGCCGCGATTCGCTCGCTCATACG